CAGTCACTCACTACTCTTCATCACAGCTCTTAAATCCCACCTAAGCCCCACTAGTAGTTGGGTATAAAGGCATGCACCACCACACCTGGATAATTTTTTTTGGTATTTTTAGTAGAGATGGGGTTTTGCCATGTTTCCCAGGCTGATCTGAAACTCCTGGGCTCAAGAGATTTCCCTGCCTTGGCCTCCCAAAGCTGGGACCACAGGCATGAGCCACCATGCCTGGCCTTGGCCTATAATCATTCTTAAAAAAAAAAAATCTTTGGTCAAAACTATTTGGCTTATGATCATCTATATGAGGCTTGGTAGTACCCATCTTGGCTCCTGTGGGTCCACTTTCTTGAAACACCCTTCCTAGTTAATTCCTTTAAAACCTATGTCTGCCAAAGCGACTAGTTGTATCCCACACTGATGGTATGCCTGTTTGACATTCCTAGCCATTTATAAGGAGAGTGTTCTCTGTTTTACATGTTTATATTCAAGTTACTTTTTTGTTATATAGTTGCCTTGCTGCAATGGTAATCATTCTATTTAATCTTCTTCACATGCCATAATACACTATACAAATACTGAGAGTACTAAATGAGAAGGTAGTGTGAAAGTGGTGTATAATATATCGTTAGCAACAACAGGTGATGTGGAAGATGCTTATAAATACAGTTAAGGGAGATTTCTTTTCTTTTCTTTTTGTTTTTTTACAAGATCATGAAGTCAGGTAAGTTAAGGGAGATTTCATAGGCCAAATAAAATTTTTGTAGATCTACCAAATTTGAAGAAAACCTATTTGCAATATAATACTTTCTGATTGCCTATATTATCTTCTGATAATGAGTTTTAATTTTATACGAACACTGGAGAATCTGCAGTCCATTCCCAGTTCAGAAACATTTTTGAAGAAATACAAACATTGGATGGGTACACATAAACATTTCAGTGCAAGCTTTTAGAAAAATCTTAGTTTGCAAATTCATAATAATAATAGCTGGGCTAGGTGCAGTAGCTCATGGCCGTAATCCTAGCATTTCAGGAGGCCGAGGTGGGAGGATTACTTGAGGTCAGGAGTTCGAGACCAGCCTGGCTAACATGGTGAAACCCCATCTCTACTAAAAATACAAAAATTAGCTGGGTTTAGTGGCAGGTGCCTGTATTCCCAGTTACTTGGGAGGCCGAGGCAGGAGAATTGCTCGAACTCAGGAGGGGGAGGTTGCAGTGAGCCAATATCATACCACTGTGCTCCAGCCTGGGCAACAGAGCTAGACGCCATCTTAAAAAAAAATTGATAATAATAGCTAACCTTTATGGAGAGTATGTGCTACTCTTTGCTACCAAGCACTCTCTTAAGTACTTTTTGTGCATCACATCATTTAATTCCCATAAGTCCCTTATGAGATACATACAGTTATTATTTGGGCTACCATACTGCACAAACAGAGGGTACCATTCACACTCTAGCCAGGTGAATGGCAACTCTTTGGAACTATGTAATATGGTAGCTCACATTATTACCTTCAGTTTACTCACAGAGAAACTGAGGCAGACTATAAGTTTTAGTAACATGTGCAAAGTCAAATGGCTAGTTAGTGGTGTACCAGGGTTTTGAATCCAGGCAATCTGGCTCTGGAGCTCACACAGCAAACCACTATACCATGTCTATTTCTAGGATAGGGAAAATACACCTTGGCGGTCTCTTCCAGAAACAGGAACTGGGCTAGGGGCCAATGTATTTTAGAAAGGAATCACATCTTACTATATTTAGAATTTTAAAAAACTTCATCAAACATAATGAAATGCTGCAATAAAACATTTCGAAGAGACTCTATTAATGATTTAAAATTACTGTGCTAGATAAGCCAGTCAGAAAGAGACTAATATTGTGTGATTCCACTTATATGAGGTGTTGCAGTAAAATTCAGAGACAAAAAGTGAAAAAGTGATTGCCAGAGTCTAGGAGAGGGGAGAATGGGAAACAGTTTGTTCACTAGGCACAGAACTTCACTGTTGCAAAATGGAAAAATAGAAAAAAGGGAGACTGGTTGCACAACAGTGAATGAACTGAATACTACTGAACTGTATACTTGAAAACGGTTAGGATGGTAAATTTTATGTTACATATATTTTACTGTTTTAAAAAAAGGTACTGCACTGAAAATGTATTTAGATTATATTGTTCAGTGCTAAAGCCAAGTTGCAAAGGAGAATTTGTAACAAACATTTCTTTTTAAAACATAAAATAGGCCAGGTGCAGTGGCTCAGGCCTGTAATCCCAGCACTTCGGGAGGCTGAGGCAGCGGTCACCTGAGGTCAGGAGTTTGAGACCAGCCTGGCCAACATGGTGAAACCCTGTCTCTACTAAAAATACCAAAAATTAGCCGGGTGTAGTGGTGGGCACCTGAGTAGTCCCAGCTACTCAGGAGGCTGCGACAGGGGTATTGTTTGAATCTGGGAGGCGGAGGTTGCAGTGAGCCAGAAAAACACACCAAAAAACCTATAAAATATGTTATTAGGTTGGTACAAAAGCAACTGCTATTACTTTATTTTTTATTTCATTTTATTTTTTTTGAGACGGAGTTTCGCTCTTGTTACCCAGGCTGGAGTGCAATGGCGCGACCTCGGCTCACTGCAACCTCCGCCTCCTGGGTTCAGGCAATTCTCCTGCCTCAGCCTCCTGAGTAGCTGGGATTACAGGCACGCGCCACCATGCCCAGCTGATTTTTGTATTTTTAGTAGAGACAGGGTTTCGCCAGGTTGACCAGGATGGTCTCGATCTCTTGACCTCGTGATCCACCCGCCTCGGCCTCCCAAAGTGCTGGGATTACAGGCTTGAGCCACCGCGCCCGGCCTGCTATTACTTTAAGTGGCAAAAACCACAGTTGCTTTTACACCTGTCAAGTAGTATAAGCATAGAAAAAAATCTGGAGTTTTACATATCAAATTCATAATAGTGGTTATATTTGAAAAGTATGATTATGAGGACTTTCATTTTAGATAATATATCTTTCTATAATACTTGAATTCAAAAATAATTCATGTATTACTTTTGTAGGCAAAAAACAGGATAAAGTCCTTTTAAAGACCTTAGTCTCCATTATCAGCACATTTTCAGATGCTCTTATCACAATGAAAATGATTTTTTTTTTTTTGTTATGGAGTCTCACTCTGTTGCCAGGCTGGAGTGCAGTTTTGTGATCTCAGCTCCTGGCTGCAACCACCACCTCCTGGGTTCAAGCAATTCTCCCGCCTCAGCCTCCCGAGTAGCTGGGACTACAGGAGGGCACCACCACGCCCAGCTAATTTTTGTATATTTAGTAGAGATGGGGATTCACCATGCTGGCCAGCATGGTCTTTATCTCTTGACCTCATAATCTGCCTGCGTTGGCCAAGAAGCACTTGAAAAGGTGTTCAACGTTGACATTTTTTGAACAATACAGGTCAGTAGTTATGTAGAATTTAAATTTAACTTGCTATGAATTGAAAGCTATTCTTAATTTAGAAGACAAAGAGTCTTCTAATATATATGATAAAGAGCACTTTTTATTTTTTTGGAGGGATACAAAAACACTGCCCATTTTGCTAAAAAGATAAGTAAAATGATCATTATAATTAAAAAAGTACACGTGATCGCCACTTTGAGCTTGTTCATAGAATTTTAAAGTGTGAATAGGAAGAAATAATTATCAATTTCTAATAGCCTGCTTAGAATCTGCTGCTTTTTTCTTAGTAAGAATGTTTCTACGCCTACTCAGCCATGTTTACTGGAAAAACATCAGTACTTTTTGTTTCAATAGGGATGCTGAGCTTCTATTATGCAAACAATTATGGCTTTTATGAATCTTTTTGAAGCTTTATCAATGTGCTATTATCCTCAGTTGGTAACCATTTTATTTTGTTAACTTCTATTTAAAGCGTCAATAAAAATAGTTGAATTTAAAAGCCAGTTACACGGTTTCTATTTGGGTAGCCATGTGGATCTGTTCACTCTGTGGCTCAAAGTAAACTATAGGACTTCTAGTCTCTGGAAATAAAGTGAAGATACTGGTATCTGCCTCTTGCTTAAGAAATACTGAAAAATGAAGCTGGCATATGTGAAACTTCTTGTATTCTTTTGAAGGACTTTAGAAATAGCATCATTAGGTTATTTATGTAAATGTTAACTTAGGAGACCAAACAATTGTCACTGTCTAGAGAGGCTGGGAAGACATGACAGCTAAATGCAATGTGGTACTGTGACTGGATCCTGCAGCAGAAAGAAAATGCCAGTGGGAAAACTGGTGGAGTTTAGTTAATAGACATGAACCATTGTCATTTTCTGAGTTTTCATAATTCTACTATGGTAATATATTAACAATGTGCCAGGCGTGGTGGCTCACGCCTGTAATCCCAGCACTTTGGGAGGCCAAGACAGGCAGATCAGGAGGTCAGGAGTTTAAGACCACCCTGACCAACATGGTGAAACCCTGTGTCTACTAAAAATAAAAAAAATAAAAAATAAACTAGCCAGGCGTGGTGGCCTGCACCTGCAGTCCCAGCGACTCGGGAGGCCGAGGCAGGAGAACTGCTTGAACCCAGGAGGCAGAGGTTGCAGTGAGCCAAGACTGCACCACTGCACTCCCGCTTAGGGAATTTGTTTAAAAAAAATAAAGTAAAATAAAATAAAAAAATGTATATATATACACACACACACAATGTGGGAAACTGGGTGGGAACTCTCTTTAATACCTTTGCAATTTCCATATACATCTAAATTTCTTCCAAAATAAAAGGCTTATGTAAGAAAATAGGCAGCCATTTGCTTCACCCTTTTTTTTTTTTAAGAGACAGGGTTTCACCATGTTGGTCAGGCTGGTCTCGAACTCCTGACCTCAGGTGATCCACCCATCTCAGCCTCCCAATGTGCTGGGATTACAGGTGTGAGCCACTGCACCTGGCCCTGCTTGACCCATTTAAAAAATAACAATGTAGAATGTCTAGTAATGAATTAAATAATTTTACTTAGTACTTACCCTGGATGTTGTAGCCTGTTATACTTAGTGATGCAAAGATAGTAGCCAAGTAATCCAAAAATAACCAAAAATACTCCAGCAGCAATTAATCCAGTCAGAAGGCCCATAACATCAATTTTCTCTCTGTTGTCATCTTGAAATAAATCATTAAAATAACATAAATATAACAACTACATAGCATCACCTATGATTTCAACAAATTTAATCCTGGGTCTAAACACATTATATAGCATCTAATCATTGATGTTGACTTCTTTCAAGTCTTTGTGCTAGAGAATCTACCTAAAAAAATTTAAATGACACTTCTAAAAGCCCTAGTTATTGTTATTCTTTTATTTATTTAAAATAGGTAATTTTAAATGAATAATATTCAGCATTGAATGGGATAAACATATTTGCTCCTCAACTAGACATACTTTGGTATTAATCACTAAGATTATATTTATTAAGCAACTCAGGGTAGCTATGGGATATAACCTGCCATGGCGAGGAGCGTCCTACAGAATGGGAATGAAAAAATAGCTGGAAAATGAAAAATACACCCGACTAAAATGCAGCTGGAGATGATCAATACAGATTAGATAAAGGATCTCCCCTCTCTACAAGTTACTTAATTCGATCCAACAATCTTATCTAACAAAATGTTCCATCTACCTTTAATGGTTAAAAAAGAAAACAAGTTAACATAGTTTACATCTTGAAATGAATAGTATCTACTTTTATTCTATGCAAGTCTTGACATAGCTGAGCTGTTTAAAACAGCTTTAAACCCATTATCTCATTTCCCTAGTATCTCACCAAACTTGATTTTCAGTGCACAAAGAGATGAATCTGTCCTTTTCTGTCTGAGATAGGCCAGTGTATAGTTGAGAAATCTCCTTGCATTTATAAGATATGTATGTTGAGCAATAACCAAACTCAAAACAATAAAACTAAAATGTATTACAATAGAGAGAGGGTGAGAAAAGAATTAAATTTGATCAATTATTGTTTTACCTGATTTTGTGGTTGGTCCTTTAGCTGAATATTCCTGCCAAAATGCGTTCTAAAAAAAAAAGGTAAAATTCCCAAGTTTATTCAATATCTTTATTATCATTATTTGATTTGGTCTCAATGACCTGGGCTAGAGGTAGTAAACTCTTGGCAGGTATCGTAAGTAGAAGACCAGTTCATTCAAGCTGGAGAGTGTGACTCACTCTAATTAAAGCACTACCACCCATAACTGCCTCTGCTGTCTGTCTCTCTAATTGTCAAGGGATTACTGCCAGTCCCAGCTCTTTACTACTGTGCCTGCTATTTTCCCTTCACCTGACTGGAGCTCCCACTAAGGCACTGGGGGAAATTATTGCATTAGAGAATAGGTAAAAGTACCAAAGTCAGAAGTTGAGGCTGTGGACTCACTACCATGTTTGAACAGGAGACTGAATTTTTCTGTGGGTGATAAGCCCTCAGTTTGTCTCAGGACTTTTTTTTTTTTTTTTTATTTTTAAGACAGGATTTCTCTGTAGCCCAAGCCAGAGTGCAGTGGTGTGATCATGACTCACTGCAGCCTTGACCTTCCATGCTCAGGCAATCCTCCCACCTCTGCCTCCTTAGTAGCTAGAACTACAGGCACATGCCACCACTCCCAGGTAATTTTTTCTTTTTTGTAGAGATGGGTTTCACCATGAAGCCCAGGCTGGTCTTGATTTCCTGGGCCCAAGCAATCCTCCCACCTCTGCCCTGCAAAGTGCTGGGATTACAAGTATGAGCCGCTGTGCCCTTCTGGAAGATCTTATTGAAAAGTATTTATTGATTTGGAAAGACATTCTTGAAACAATTTTAAGTTCAGTGCTACTTGAGAGAATAGAAATGAATTTTAAGGAACTATGATAAAATTAGAAAAGGTTTGTGAAAAACAGAATAAAATTCCAACAGGTACAACTACACAGTATATGCTTCGTTTTGCTCCTTAATAGACACAGCAACAGGTACAACTACACAATAGATACTTGTAGGGAATGGGAGAGTGGGCACAATGATATAAAAGTCAACTAGGTTCCATGACCACCTGCATTTGAAGGATGCCTAGGGAGGTTCTTATTGACCAAAAAGTAAAATGGGGCTCTTAGGAAAGGCAAAAAGGAGCTAGCATTATGAAATCTACAAAAGTAAAGAATTTAGGGCTGGGCGCTGCAGCTCATGCCTGTAATCCTTAGCACTTTGTCAGGCTGAGGCAGGCAGATTGTCTGAACTCAGGGGTTTGAGATCAGCTTGAGCAACATGGTGAAATCCTGTCTCTACTAAAATACAAAAAATTATCCAGGCATGGCAGCATGCACCTGTAGTCCTAGCTACAGGACTGATACAGGAGGCTGAGGCAGGAGAATTGCTTGAACCCGGGAGGTGGAGGTTGTAGCGGGCCGAGATTGCGCCACTGCACTCCAGCCTGGGCGACAGAGTAGACTCTGTCTCCAAAAAGAAAATAAAAAAGATAATTTGGGTTACTTAATGTTTCTGAAGACTGTGACAGATTATCACAGGCACAATGCCATCTGTTTTGTACCTTATCAAGATGAACAGAACTTGATTATATTCTAAGAAAGAACTTTTAAAAATGTTTCCCTTAAATTACACTGATAGACCAAACAATACATTTCTGAACACAAGGGCTATACATTTTGTATCCTCAGTGCCAAGGACAACACCTGGCACATAGCAGACTGTCAGTTAATACTTGAAATATAAATATGGGTAATCAAGTAGGTAAGGTCACCGATAGGACAAATTACTTAGTCATAAATGATTGAAGCCTGAGTTAGAGCACTAACCACAAAATCTTGGAGTTAAATTCATTCTGCCCCATGATGAATTTTAAATATAATAAACATTAAACACACAAAATCACAACAGTCAATAATTTACTAATTACTATAAACCCCATTATTCGGGTGTAGAGCCAAGTCTAAACAGGTTAATTACCATTTTAAGGAAGTAGAAAGAGATGTCAGGTACATAACCTTGATTTTGTTTAAAGTGTAAAATTTCTAATAACTGAAAGTGCCACTTTCTTTCTTTCTTTCTTTCTTTCTTTTTTTTTTATTTGAGACGGAGTTTCGCTCTCGTTACCCAGGCTGGAGTGCAATGGCGCGATCTCTGCTCACCGCAACCTCCACCTCCTGGGTTCAGGCAATTCTCCTGCCTCAGCCTCCTGAGTAGCTGGGATTACAGGCACGCGCCACCATGCCCAGCTAATTTTTTGTATTTTTAGTAGAGACGGGGTTTTACCATGTTGACCAGGATGGTCTCGATCTCTTGACCTTGTGATCCACCCGCCTCGGCCTCCCAAAGTGCTGGGATTACAGGCTTGAGCCACCGCGCCCGGCCCGAAAGTGCCACTTTCTTAAGTACAATTGAACGATTCCAGATAATTAACATAATCAACCACATTACCGTTTTATCTTCATCCACAAAAATCTCTCTGGCTTCCTCATAATTGCAAAGTTCCTCATTGCACTCTCTTTCTAGGTCACCAGGAGTGAAGAGCTCCAAATCAAATCTGTTATACAGGAGGCGTCTATGTATGAAAAAGTTCGCTTCTTCTTTTGATGTAAACACTAATAAAGTAATGAAAAAGACTTAAACGTTGATCAAAAATATTTTAAAAATTCCTGTTTTAATTGTGGAAAAAGTGAATAATCCTCTTGATGTGGTTAAATTATACAAAAGTTTTTTTGTAAAGCTTTAAAATCTAACCAAAAAATAGAAAAATCATCAGTGAAGATAATTTCCTATAAACATGAAATATAAAATTAGCATAATTCTGCTGGAATTATGTCCAAAATTACTAGTATAAATAACAATTATTTAAATATCTTTTTCTCTCCAGATAGTTATTTTCCCAATAATTGATAGATCAGACTGTTCTGTTTCTAAAGAATTGGTTCTCGATTATCTTGACTGAGAAAAATTAGTGGGGCATTTTGGACAGCATATTGAACTGAGAGTTAAAAGACAGATTTTTGGTTTTAATTTAGCTTAAGCTATCAGTTGTATATTCTAAGATAAGTCACTTACATTCTTTGGGCTGCCATTTCCTCATTTATAAAACCGGGAATTAAATTAAATAATCACTAAGATCTCTTTAAGTTCTTAATTTTGTTGTTGTTGTTGTTTTTTGAGATGGAGTCTCACTCTGTCGCCCAGGCTGAAATACAATGGCACGGTCTCAGCTCCACCTCCCAAGTTCAAGTGATTCTCCTGCCTTAGCCTCCCAAGTAGCTGGGACTACAGGCATGTGCCACCACACGTGGCTAATTTTTGTATTTTTAGTAGAGACGGGGTTTCACTGTTTTGGCCGTGCTGGTCTCGAACTCCTGACTTCGTGATCCACTCGCCTTGTCTTCTCAAAGTGCTGGGATTACAGGCATGAACCACTACACCTGGCCAAGTTCTTAAATTACAAATTAATGCTTATACATTACAGGTGCTGTATTCAAGTTTATGCTAAAAGTTATAAAATTATAACCTTCTAAATTAGTGAAAATATAAGCTAATTATAAGATTTAACTAAAGACATTCAGTTATTTCCAACGTAGTAGCTCCCTCTACTGTACTCCCCAAATATGTGTCTCTAATGTTTTATGTTTCCTTGACATTTGACGGGAAGGTAAATGGTAAACACTACAAGGTTCAGAACAGGTTGACACAAAACCAAAGCATCCAACCATGGTAGTATTTTCAAAACCCACAAACTTTAAACTTGTTCTGGTGTCACACAAACAAAGCTTAAGAGATTTTGCTCCAGATCATATTACTAAGACTGGAATTCCGAAAGTGAGAACTACATCACAATGCTTAAAGGAGTTTAAAAGTGCGGATACTTTTCACTGCTCACCATTACTAAAGAAAGAATATATTAAAATAGGCGATTGAAAGACTGCTCATGAGAGATTATAGCTGGAAAACTCATACTGATTTGTGAGTGACCTCAAGTCGCACATTTATTTTTGCCCCCTTAAGAACAGTCACATCTTGTCCAAGATATTTTTTCTATAAATGAATTATCTTTCCAAACAGGTCTGAATATTCTAGAGCTATTTTGTCTAATGCAGTAACCACTAGCCACAGAAGGCTGGGAGTGGTCGCTCATGCCTGTAATCCCAGCAGACTAAGGCAGGCGGATCACTTGAGCCCAGGAGCTGGAGACCAGCCTGGGCAACATAGTGAAACCCCATCTCTACAAAATATACAAAAATTAGGCTGGTGTGGTGATGAACGCCTGTAGTCCCAGCTACTTGGGAGGCTGAGGTGGAAGGATAACTTGAGTCCAGGAGGTAGAGGTTGCAGTGATCTGAGATCATGCCACTATCCTCTAGCTTGGGCAACAGAGCAAGATCCTATCTCTAAATAAATAAATAAGAACTGTGGCTTGTCTGAATTGAAATGTGCAGTAAGTATAAGATACACACAAGGATTTCAAAAACTTGGTGTAGAAAAGAAAAAGGTGAAATGTCTCCATAATGTTTTATATTGCTTATATTTTAAAATGGTGATATTTTGTGTACTAGATTAAATGATATACATTCTTAAAATTAATTTCATCTATTATTTTTTACTTTTTAAAATGTGGCTATTAGAAAATTTTAAATTATTTATGTAGCTCACACTATATTTTGGGGGAGCAGCACTATTCTACAGTGTCCATTTCTATGTTTTAAATAACAAATATGGGCTATTCAAACCAAATGGGAAGCTACAATGGGATAATTGGTGATGGTTGTTTTGAAAAGTATTCTAAAAGGTAGATAGAGGGGATAGTGTGATGAAATATTTCTATTCTGTTTCCTCCTTTGTTTTATTGTAGATTTTATATGATCACAAATGGAGATAGCAAGAAAAAAATTTCCAAGCCTCCATCTCCCCTCACTGGGATTCCTACAATGGTCTTCCAAGGGTCTCCTTGCTGCTCTATAGTCTGTTTTTAACGTAACAGCCAAAGAGAGCCCTTTAAAAGATAAGATAGACTTTGTTCCTACTTTGCTTTTAAAAAACCTTCTAACAGCAATTCTACTGCCTGCAGAGTAAAAGCCAAAATCATTACAATGGCTTACATGACCCTCTTCCTTCTGGTCCCTAAGCCCTTACCCCTTTAACCTCATCTCTTACCACTTTCCCTGTGTATTCTGTTGTAGCTATGCTGGCTTCCAACACACCTGGTTCTCTCTGGCCTTTGGATTTATTGTTCTGAACAGAACTTCCTTAGTTCAGTTTGCTCTCTCACATCCTTCAGGATTTTGTTCAATGCTACCTTCCATAGCTTGTGATGTCCTTGAGAGTGTCTTTTATTTATTTATTTATTTTTATGTTTATGTTTTAAATAAAATTCACTCTGTCATCCAGGCTGGAGTGCAGTGGCACAATCTCAGCTCACTGCAGCCTCCATCTCCCCAGTAGTTAGGATTACAGGCATGTGCCACTATGCTGGGCTATTTTTGTATATTTGGTAGAGACGGGGCTACACCACGTTGGCCAGGCTGGTCTTGAATTCCTGACCATCTGCCTTGACCTCCCAAAGTGCTAGGATTACAGGCATGAACCACCGTGTCTGGTGAAAGTGTCTTTTATCCTTGTGTCATGTGAATGAATGATTGCACTCACAATTATATTAGGGAAGAGCATCTGAGTATGGAACCTTGAAGGGGAACCTTCTAAGTGGACTGACATATATGGTGCAGCTTGGGAGGGACTAAAAATGATCCTCTTCCAAAATCTCTCCCTATTCCTCTAGCTAGCCTATCCAGTTGTCTAGAATTCTGTCATCAGAGTTTGATTTTTTTGGGTTAATGAATTGTTCTATCTCAACACACACAACTGTGTTAATCATTGATAAAGTCAGTTCAGAGTTTTACTGTTAACAGATCCTTCCCAAATGAAAATGAGCTGAGAACAGGATCTGATGAGAAGGGATAAGAGACAGGAACGTGTGGGGACATGGATCCAGAGTATTGGCACTGGCCGAGGAAGCACCGTGACTAGTCAGGGAGAAGGATGCTAAGAGCCAGAGGCTTTTTTTTTTCTATTTTCTGGTTTTACTAGGTTAGGCTTTTAAAATATAGGCAGGAAAACAAACTGTTAATGAGAAGCCTAAAAACTATGGACTTCTAGGTTAGCAAGCCCCAAACCTAATCTCTTAACTAGCTGCTTTTATCTAGACAACTAGACCATCTGAAAGTCAAAAAGGACCTCAGAGATGATTTTACACCCCACTCCCATCACTTTTACAGATGAAGACATTCAAGCCCAATTAATTTATCTTGCTCAGGGTCTCACAAGTCCAGACTAGATCCTGGACTCCCCGTTCACCTTTCCAGGAAGAACATGTAATTATGCTCTTTATAATCGCTACACAGCTTCCTGTAGAGAAAAGTCACTCACTGATTTTCAGAAGCTGAAATAGGTTTTCCATTCAATTAACCACAAACAAGGTCTTACATATATACTTATTAAAGAAAACTCACAGAAATCAAGTTGTATAAATTGCAGTTAAAGAACATAAAAAACCAGACCAGGTGCGGTGGCTCAAGCCTGTAATCCCAGCACTTTGGGAGGCCAAGGAGGGTGGATCACGAGGTCAAGAGATCGAGACCATCCTGGTCGACATGGTGAAACCCCGTCTCTACTAAAAATACAAAAAATCAGCTGGGCCTGGTGGCGCGTGCCTGTAATCCCAGCTACTCAGAAGGCTGAGGCAGGAGAATTGCCTGAACCCAGGAGGCGGAGGTTGCAGTGAGCTGAGATCGCGCCATTGCACTCCAGCCTGGGTAACGAGCGAAACTCCGTCTCAAAAAAAAAAAAAAAAAGAACATAAAAAAACCACAATCTTGCCAAATATACCACAAATTAAACTAAAGTATATTTTAGTGCTTCTATGATTGATTGGGGTATGTCATTTCAAATACTGCACTTTCTCACTGACATCTGTACCACGCGGCTCCGGGCTCCAGGGACGTTTTCGTGCTTACCTTCTCCCACATTCGTAGAAGCTTTTGGGCCTCTTGTGCAATGAGGAAACAAGGTAACTGTGGGCAGTTGGCTGAGTAGAACCAGAAGTGTAAACATAGTCTGGCAACTGTCAAACAAACTAAAACAAACAAAAAACATAGTTAAAAAAAAAAAAAAAAAGCCCCTGGCTCAGCACTCTGAGTTTCTGTGGAACTGAATCACCAACCTGTTGTACTCAATCAAAGCCTCGACGCTAGAGAGCCCAGCGCGCGGTTTCGGTTGCAGGGACTCCAGGCGCGCCCAGAAAGCTGCCCCGAGAGCGCCTGGGACAAATGCCGCGCCCCGGGACCCTGCCGAGGGCTGATCCGGGATCTGTCGCTGCGGGAAACCCTCGGCTATGTGTTCGAATACAACCCAGTCCGCCGAGGTGGCCTCCACCGATGTGCCCCCCCTCCCAGTAACCCCCTCCCCGCCGAGTCCCCTAGCCAGGCCCCGCACCTGTGTACCCCCGCACATGTTCCAGCAGCCGCCGTGCCAGAGTCTCGTCCTGGGGTGGTTCCTTTGGCCGTCAGGCTGTCGGTCTCCGGCGCTCTCAAACCTCGGCGACGCTCCGGGCTTCTCTCTCCCCAGGGTCTGGGTGGCCCTCGCGCGCAAACCGGGGACGCGTCTGGGGTCCGCAGAAGGGCGCCCGGGGAACACGCGCCGCGCGAGGTCCTGTCTCGGTACTGGGAGGCGGCCGACGGAGGAAGGGAGGAGACGGCTAGCTGGGGACACCTGGTCGCGCCCCTCCTCCCGGGGGCCGGCCTACCTGCGGCCAGCTGGCGGGCAGTGGGCCGGCGTCTCCTTGGAGTCCGCGCTGCGCTCTCAGCCGCCTCAGCCCCGGGCTGGCCAGGCAGCCAGCCGCCAGTTCTGGCCTCGCCTTGGTGGCGCTGGTGGCTGCTTTTCGATTTGTGTCTGCACCCGGCATTCTTAATGCTCCTAATCCAGAGAGCGTTTCGGTTCTCAGTCCTAAGCAGAGCGCCCTCGGCGCGTCCAGGGCTTTTCGTTTTGGATCTCGCTAGGCCAGGGGTCCTGCGGTTACCTTAGGCCAACTGTTTTCAAAAGAGTGATCCGGGGACAAGGACAAGATATTCATCAGACAAAATACCCTTTATTCGTGATAAGAAACGGAAATGGCCTTAAAATTAATTTATTTCATTGGTCCTCCAATGGTGGTCCGCCAGTTCTGTGATGTCTCCAAGATCTTTTCCAGGGGTCTCTCAGGTCAAAACTATTTCCATTATGGTAACAACATGATTTGCCATTTTCACTTTCATTCTCTCAAGTGTACAGTGGAAATTTCCAGGGGCTATTTTACATGTAATAGTCATCACTCTGCTAACAGAATACCTATGTGTGTGTGCTTGTATTTTCTAGTATTTTCCATGGCAGTATGCTTAAAGTATCAGTATGTACCTTTTATAGAGATTTATGTAGATTTACAGAGATTAATAAAATTTGTTCTCTACTTCTGAACGTAATGTTTTTTTTTTTTTCTTTTTCAGAGTAGGGGTTTCTTTTTCAGCCTAGGGGTTTGTTGCCTAGGCTGGCTCCTTGAACTCCTGGGCTCAAGAGATCCTCCAGTCTCATCCTCCAGAGTAGCTGGGACTAAAGGTGTCCACTATCTCTCTTGGCTACTGCTTTTGTATTTTGATTAGTTTTCTTTGTTCATATCTACTAGGATAGCTATAACCTCATTATTCTCAAATAATTATCTTGAAATCTTGATCTTTTCTGTGAGTCAATGCATAAACATAACAAAAAGTGTGCTTTGTTGTCTTGATTTCAAAAATATTTTGAAAATTTCTCAGTTTTAATGTTAGATAATAAATATCATTAGAAGCAATTCACTTAAGTGAAAACTCTCTGGCATCCTTGATAACGTAAGTGTGTAAAAAGGTCTTGATCAAAGACTTCAAGAACTGCTGCATCAAGTAATGAAGGCAGCAGGTGGACAGAGGACCTGTGCCAGGTGATGGTCACATCCTTCTTTATACAAAGAACATGCTTAACAATTCTTTGAAACACTATTTATGCTTTGGTCAAAGTGGCCTGGCACTTGCTGGGGGGCAAGGGAAACATTTTTCCCCCCTTCAAATTTTTTTTTTCTCCTTGAGACAGAATCTCGCTCTGTCTCCCAGGCTGGAGTGCAGTGGTGCAATCTCGGCCCACTACAACCTCCGCTTCAACTGATTCTCCTGCCTCAGCCTCCTGAGTAGCTAGGATTATAGGCATCCACTACCATGCCAGGCTAAATTTTTCTACATTTAGTAGAGACGGGGTTTCACTATATTGACCAGGCTGTTCACAAACTCCTGACCTCAGGTGATCTGCCCACCTTGGCCTCCCAAAGTGCTGGGATTATAGGTATGAGCCACTGCGCCTGGCCTCAAATTTCTGATTAATTCAATTTTTACCAAATTCTGTTTTTCTCCTCCCAAAGGATATTGTCTATTTTAGACAATATTTTATGTTAAATATATTTGATTATTATATTTTATTATGATTATTGATAATCAACTGAATTATTCTTAAGTTTTCTGCAGAAATTTTGTTTTCACCAATTCCTTCTAGGCAGTGCTTTTCCTCTCCCTTCTTCCAGTCCCTTCCTCTGCACTCTCCATTTGTCTACCTCGTGGTCTAAACTGTTTGTATGTTGGAGTCTTCTCTCCCTCTTATTCAAGCAATTGGAATCAGACAATGAATAGGCCCAGACATGGTTTATTGTGGTTGAACACAAGAATAGGAAACATCTTCACTAGAACACCCATTTTCCTGTTTATTCCTTGAGTCAACCTACAGCACTGAGCCCTCCTGGTGGGGAGATGGACACCATGTGTTCTGGAGAAGAATTTAATCTGGCTGAGACCTAGATCTGAGAATGTGGGCCTGTGACGTTCTTATCAAGTGCAAGAACTGACTTACTCATTTTTTCATCCTCCACAGTACCAGGGGAGTGCTTTCTACATTGTTCATGTTCAATACATTTTCACTGAGTGGAAGCAATTTATTTTCAGGTAGGAAAAGTACTTCATTTCCCACTACTTTGGGGAGAGGCCAATGGTCAAATGCCTCATGCTATGCAATCAGCAGCTGTGAACTTTGATGACATTCCTTTGTAGAATGAGTCCACCCACATATCTGGATATTTGGACCAAAACAAATGAGGCCTTGTGCTTGCATCAAAAATCAGAGTTTATAGACAGAGAGGGAGGCAGACAGAGAAATGAAAGTCTGTTTCTCAGTAGTGAATTATATCCCTGTATGTTTTCCTGTAACATTGAGTCCTAGAGAATGCATTTGGCAGCATGCACACTAACTTAGTCACTATGGAGCTGCAAGGTATTTTGAGGTTAGATGGCAAAGAGAGAAAAGAGAAAAGCCAGTAACAACAGTGCCCAAGATCGCTGATTTCTTCTATTACTTACTTGGTGTATTCATTTTATTTTGTGCCTTCTGCTATTTAAAGTTATAATATTCTTGGCTAGGTACGGTGGCTCACGCCTGTAATCCCAGCACTTTGGGAGGCTGAGGTGGGCAGATCACAAGGTCAGGAGTTTGAGACCAGCCTGCCCAACATAGTGAAACCCCATCTCTGCTAAAAATACAAAAAAATTAGCTGGGCGTGGTGGCGGGCACCTGTAATTCCAGCTACTAGGGAGGCTGAGGCAGGAGAATCACTTGAACGATTCTCACGTTGAACCTCAACCTCACTGCGGAGGTTGCAGTGAGCCGAGATCCTGCCAATGCACTCCAGCCTGGTGACAAGAGTGAAACTCTGTCTCAAAAATAATAGTAATAATAATAATAATAAAGTTATAATATTCTTATGCCTTTCTTCTGAGGCATTTTAAGTGTTCTCACAGTATTTTTCTTATTCTGGCTATCTGTGGAGTTGGGCTAGATATTATAATTCTCATTTTACAAAGAGGGATAGGGAAGCATGAAGTAAATGAATAATCATTGGCCAAGTACTAGCCTGGTTCTTGATTTCAGTGCTTTTTTTTTTTTTGAGTTCTTATCAAACAATAAAGGCAGTAAGTAAAAAATTACTTAGTTTCAGAGAAAATAAGGGAAAAAATCAGAGCAATGAGATTAATGGACTTGGATTAATGTGATAATGCATCTCTGAATTTGAGCACATACCCACCCACTTACCTGTGTGAATTCAAGAATGAAATGAAAACTCACTTTACTGTGTGGGCATGAGAATGGACTCAAGGACTGTGACAGGAAATGTTAAGGTTGCAGCCATGAAGCTCTGTAAGTAAAGTCACATCCACATCCTTAAAGACACATCGATGACTATCATTAGCCTGTTCAGACAGGAGAAGCAATTTTATTGAACTTGCTGTTTCCATGACATTTTAGCTTTGACATTTCAACATCAATTGCTCGCTGTTTTAATTTATCCCAGTATAGTCAGCAAGTGAGAAATGAAAGACTCCTACTGTTCCAGGTTGATTATATATCTGCACGCAGGTATTTTCAGATTCAACAAATCAGTAAAGGGGTTAAGGATTTTATTTTAAACATTTGCTTAAAGCCCTTTAAGGATGCTTTTGAACAGAACTTTTATTTATTTTAATTCTACCATTTAAGAACAATAATTAATAAGAAAACAATTAAATAAAAGAACAGTGTGAAGGGTTACCTGATTTCATGTCACACTGTGAGTAGTAATAAGACCTACATGTTGTGCTTAAAATATAGAAATCTTTATAGCTCTTAGAGTGCATAGGAACTTGAATCTGTGTGGCTTGGAGCTGCTCCTAGGGATCTGTGACAGGGACTTGTGTAACAGCTGGCCTCAGAGCTGTCACTCTGTGTATGGATGTTGGCATTTTTACACAAATTATTCACTTATCAGCCTTATTTTCTCATCAGAGTCTTACTTTCTGATTGCTACACAATTGTTGGCCTCTTTTTTTGTAAAGTCATATTCAGGTAATCATGATATTCTATGAAAACATTTTTTTTCATACACATGATTACTTGGCATCAATTGCAAAACCATACTTTCCATACACAGCATGTAAAAAAGGAGTTTAAACAAATCATGCATTTCTAGCTATGCAATTAACAGCATTTAAGAATCATTTGTTGACAGGCATGGTGGCTCATGCCTGTAATCCCAACACTTTGGGAGGCTGAGGCGGGTGGATTACCTGAGGTCAGGGGTTCGAGAGCAGCCTGACCAACACGGTGAAATCCTGTCTCTACTAACAAAAATTAGCTGGGTGTGGTGGTGCATGTCTGTTTTTCCCAGCTATTCAGGAGGCTGAGGCAGGAGAATCACTGCAACCCAGGAGGTGGAAGTTGCAGTGAGCTGAAATCATGCCACTGTACTCCAGCCTGGTTGACAGAATGAGACTCCATTTCAAAAAAAGAAAAAAAAAAGAAGTACTTGTCAATGCTGCATCAGAGAAAGACAATAATGAAGTGTTAATGTTGCCAGTACTGATTGAAAGACACGCTTTACACAGAAGTTCTATTAGGAAAGCTACCAACCAGAATCTGTTTATCCTCATTTGGTGAAGGATTGTCCTTTGTTATTTTATGTACCGCCCTGGCTTGACGCTCTACAATGAAGTATAAACTGAGGGTTTTGTTTTGTTTTGTTTTGTTTTGAGACAGGGTCTAACTCTATCACCCAGGCTGGAGTGCAGTGGCAGGATCACGGCTCACTGCAGCCTCAACCTCCTGGGCTCAAATGATCCTCCTGCCTCAGCCTCCAGAGTAGCTGGGACCTCAGGCACATACCACCACACCTGGCTAACTTTTGTATTTTTTGTAGAGACAGGGGTTTTGCCATGTTGCCTATGCTGGTCTGAATTTCCTGGGTTCAAGTGATCTGCCTGCCTTGGCCTCCCAAACTGTTGGGATTACAGTCGTCA